GAGACGGTAAGCTACAGCCCCGACTCGCTCCAGGATGGTGAAGGGTCCTGTCCACTTGACATTGAACTTGGATGCAGGCCCGTCGCTGCGCAGCCGGAGGTTGGCAGTGGACAGAAGCACTCGGTCGCCCACGTCGAAGGCAGCGTCCTGCCGTTTGAGGTTGGCGTAGTGTGCTTGCCGCTGCTGTGCTGCTGCCAGTTGTTGCCTGGCTGCTTCTAGGTCAGTCTGCATGCGTTGGTAGAATTCTGTTGCCACCTGGTTGGTGCTGCCGTGTAGGCGATGCACTCCCAGTGTAGCAGGGGTGAGTGGGTGATAGCCGTAGTTGATATAGAAGGGGGTCTGCTTGGTGCTTGAGTTCACCGCATTGTTGATAGCAAACTCCGCCGGTGCCAGCCTGGTGTCCCAGTCGTCGTGCCGATCAGACACGTAGGCTCGCAGTATTTCCTCCAGTGTGCGGTTGGTGCGCTCAGTTTGGCCATCCGTTTGGGGGTGGTACGCTGTAGATCGTTTGAGTTTGGTGCCGAAAAGCTCCATCAGAGCCTCCCAAAAGCGACTGGTGAACTTGCTGTCCCTGTCGCTCACAATGCTGCTCTGAAGGCCGTGCAGTCGGCTGATGTTGTTGAAGTACAACTCTGCAGTACTAGGTGCAGTTGCAGTAGTGTGAGTGGCCGTCAGATGTACCATTTTTGTCAGCTTGTCCACCACCACCATAATTGCGTCGTAGCCTCGGGGTGTCTTGGGAAGTTGTGTAATAAAATCCATTGTGGTCTGCTCCCATTTGCGCTCGGGAATTGGCAGTGGCTGGAGAAGCCCCAAAGGCTTGCGATTTCGGCTTTTGCTAATCTGGCAGCAAGGGCAGGTCTGGACATGCCGCCTAACATCTGATCTAAGTGTGGGCCACCAGTAATTGCGCTCCAGGCAATCGATGGTCTTATCCATGCCCAAATGTCCAGCAATTGGAGTGTCGTGGTGCTCGGAGATCAATTGCCGCCTAAGTTCTTCCGCTGCTGGCGGAATGTACAGCTGGGTCTTATCGCCATCCGTGCGGATGATCAGCCCGTGTTGCAATCGGCAATTGGGCTCTTGCTGCTGCTGAATGCGTTGCTTGAGAGCTCTGCTCTCATCATCCCCCCCATAGCGGCTTGGAAGGTTCGCCAGGAAGTCTGTTGATGTGCTGATAATGCTATTCAGGAGGTCCGGCCGTCTGCTGAGCGCGTCGGCCACCACGTTGGTTTTGCCGGGCAGGTAGTCAATATACACATCGTACTCTTGCAGTGTGCCCATCCATCGTGTTTGTCTGGGGCTCAGGTGTGGCTGGGTAGCGAAATGCCGCAGTGCCTGGTGGTCCGTGTAGGCTCGGCTGCGTGCCGCTCCCATCAGGTAGTGCCGCCAGTGTTTCAGAGAAGCAATCAGAGCTAGCATTTCCCTGTCATGTGTCGGGTAGTTGCGTTCTGCGGGGGTGAGCTTGCGAGAGTAGAATGCTATTGGCTGCAGGCCCTTGCCGTGGTCTTGACTGATGACGCCGCCCAGTGCCCTGCCGGACGCGTCAGTGGTGAGCACAAAGGGCTTCTCGGGGTCAGGGTAGGCCAGCACAGGCGTGGTTGTGATACTATGCTTCAGTTTCTTGAATGCAGCTTCTTGGTCTGGTCCCCATGTCCAGGGAACAGTCTTGGACAGTAGAGTCGTTAGGGGGTCAGCAATGTGGGAGAAGTGGTGAACAAAGTGCCGGTAGTAACCTGCCAGTCCCAGGAATGCAGACACTTCCGTCGCATTCGTAGGGGCAGGCCAGTTCAGGATAACCTGAACCTTGCCGTCATCTAAGCTCTTGCCCTCTGCATTGATAACATGTCCTAAGAACTTCACTTCTGGCTGGAACCAGTCACATTTGCTATCCTTAATGTAGAGCTGGTTGTCTTGTAGTTTCTTGAGCACTATCTCCACATGCCGAGCATGCTCCTCTACGCTATTGCTGTATATCAGTATATCATCTAGAAAACACACCATCCACTGATCAAGGTACTCTCGAAACACGTCGTTGATCAGGGTCTGGAAGGTAGCTGGTGCGTTGCACAGCCCGAAGGGCAGGACTGTGTACTCGAAGAGTCCCCATCTAGTTTTAAAGGCAGTCATTGGTATGCTGTCCTCTTTCATTCTGATCTGGTTGTAGCCGGCTCGCAGGTCTATAGATGTAAAGATGCTGCCCTTGATCTGGTCCAATAACTCATCGATGCGAGGTAGGGCGGTCCGGTTCTTGACGGTCAAAGCATTAACAGCCCAGAAATCGATGCACATTCTCATAGTGCCATCCTTCTTCTTCACAAACAGGACTGGACTGCCCCAGGGTGAAGTGCTGGGTCTAATGAATCCTTTCTTGAGTCCATCTTCAATCTGTCGGTGGCATTCAGCCTGTTCCTCGTAAGACAGACGGTAATATTTCTGGTTTGGGGGCTGGGCATTTGGAGTGAGCTGTATTTTGTGGTCATGTCTACCCCTAGATGGTGGCAGATGGTCAGGAAGCTCATCAGGCATGACGGCTGCGTACTTGCTCTTCAGCCGTTTCACATGCTGGTCAATCAGCTCTTGTTCTTGAGGAGAAAATGTGCTTGGGGTACGGTCGGTACCGTCCGGAAAATCTGGTGCCGCTGTCGGGTAAGACTCATTGGTGTCGTCCCCTTCAGAGATATCTGGTGGCTCCTCTTCTGGTTGTGCCCGTACCACAGCAAGAAACAGCTTAGCGCCGCGTTGCATGCCGTGGCATACTTGTAGTGCCGTGAGGTACTTAGTCTGGTGCAGTTTCGGTGGGTCTTGAGGCCGTAGGGTGATCAGCTGCCCATTTTGGCTAAGGGTAATGTGCCTGTTTCTCCAATCAATGGTAGGGTTGTGTGCATGTAGCCAGGGTGCTCCCAGGATCACGTCGTTGCCTTCCAGTGGTAACACGTAGGCCTCTATTTTGGTCAGGAAGGCCCCAATGCGCAGGCTGGTGTGGATGGTCTCTTGAATGGGGTACGGAGTGCCATCAGCCAGCTGCACAGTAGGCCCATGTATCTGGTAGGTAGTCATCTTGTTTTTCTGGACAAACTTGCTAGAAATGAAGTTGTAAGATGCTCCAGAGTCGATCAGCAGGGTGGCGTCGCATCTCCCGACTTTGGAACGGAAGTGCAAAAGTCCTGCCGCCGTCTTGCTATTATCGATGGTGACTGCTAGTTGAGGAGGCAGTGGTTCTCCAGTCTGTTCCCTGTTCGCCACAAAGCTGCGAATAGCAGCTAGTGAGGGAACTGCATGTGGCTTCACCGCCGGGCTGGGTTGCCCTGCTGCCGCCGCTCCGGACACTGCAGTGCCATGTGGCCGGTCTTGCGGCAGTAGAAGCACTTGCCCTCTCGCAGCAGCTGCTGTCTCAGCTCTGGTGTCAACTTGGGCCGATCTGGCTGTCTCCTGTTGCCTGGAGAGAAGCTGGATGGCTGCTGCCTGTCCCAGCGGTTGCCGCTTGCAGGGTTGTGCCGGTTGTGCATGACCGCCCCCAGTTCCATTGGCTGTGGCCCGGGGGTCTGCCCAAAAGGTTTGGACTGCCTGTAGCGATCATACATCAGGGCATCAAACCGCTCTGCCATCTCGACTGCAGCCTCGAAAGTGGCTGGTGCACGCATCCGGACATCCTGCTGGGTCCTCTGCTTCAGGCCGCGAATGAAGCGATCCTTGATCTCAGCATCTTGTATGCCAGGAATGAGCAATGCCGTGTTGCGTATGGCCGTGACATAGCTCCGGACACTTCCGGTCTGCTGCAGAATTGCAAGCCGGTCGCGTGCAGTCTCAGCCGGATTGATGGGCTGGAACATTAGCCGCATTTGTTGACAGAACAAATTCCACGTTGCGGGTACATTGTTTGGGATAAGACTGCGCCACCAAGCCAAAGCCGCCTCTCGTAGGTAGGGTATAGTCTTTTCAATCCGCTGCACAT